ATTGCCCTTTTATAAGGACTTTAGTTTTTCTAGGTCACAAGGAAAAAATAAAAGATGCATTAAGTATATATAAATAATCATTGCAATCAGCCTATTCAGCCATTAATAATAAGCCTTTAGTTTTTCTAGGAGTACCAATCAACCTTAAGTAACAAAGAATGACGAAAAGAATGGAATATTAACCATTACATGCGAGAAAAAAACAAAAGAATAGAAGATTAACCATCACATGTGAGAGAAAAACCCACGCGTATACATATTAATAATTAAAGTTCAATCTACCATAAATTTCCATGAATATAAATAAGTTGTATCTAACTAAAATTCTTAATATTTGGTTAACAGTCAACATTCACTGTTTTAAATTATCAACATATCTTATAGAATCATTAATTGTATCTTTAATTTTTTTGGAAGACAAAGAATCAATATGTTACTATATATATACTGAAGAAAATGGAAAAATAAATTACGAAGACTTTCAGTTTTAGTAAAATAATAATACCAAAACTGAAAAACAAGACTTTAAACAATGGGACTTTTCAACATGATAAGTGAGCTCAAACCTGGAACATGCACTGGGGATTGCGTATTCGCTTAGTTCGGTTGTACTCTGTCCCTATGTACAATGACAAGTCAAAGATTTCAACTTTGGAGTGTGTTTTCCATGATAGAACTGTAAGTCAATTTGCATTTGCTGTTGCACTTTATATATCAACTTTATCTTGACAACATTTATTTTTCAAATGTAGGGGGATCGTATTCACGCCACGGTGAAGTACGAACAAGTTTCGACTTTCCTCCCTGATTTGAAAGAAAATATGCTTTATAAAATTGGGACATTCATTGTTGCTGAAAATAAAATTACCTACAAAACAACTACTGCTCCGTACCGAATTTTCTTTGTCCCGAGATCCAGTATCTCTGAGTTCAAGGATGATAGCTTCCCTACAATGATCTATGACTTTATTCCTTTTCAAATACTTGCTGAAGCTGATTCGGTTGATGAAACCGTACTCATTGGTATAATATTCTACACAAAGTCCTATAATTTTTTTATTATTACATATACTAATGAAAACTAAAAACCAGATGTTATTGGACGCCTTGCTGTGAGATACCCACCCCGCGAGGTTGAGTATGGCGGACAACAAACAATCTTGATGGAATTACTTTTGGAGGATCATGAGTAAATGAAATCAATTCTATTTCTCTTATATAAGTTTGCATTCAATTTTCAAATTTTTATTTATATTTATTTTTATAGGAGAAACACAATGCCTTGCACGTTGTGGGGTGAGTATGTTGACTACTTGATTAATTACTTAACCAATGTTGATGTCGAAAATCGGACGATCAACGGTTAAATAATAATCGATTTTTGTAGGAAAAGTGAAGACCAAAATGTAATGAGAATGTCCTTTTTCTTTTTTATTTTGGAGAGAAATCTCCATTTTGTTGTTGGGAGAGATGGAAAAAATGAGAAGAAGCTCCCTTTCTCTCTCTTCTTTACACATATTTATACATGGCCTTAACTTACAAGTGGGCCAATAAAAATGGTTCATAATTATTTAATGCGTAATGACAACCGGAAGGCCCACTGACGTCCTTTGACGGCATTGATTGACGTCTACTTTATCGGCAATCGCGGTATCTGTGTTAACCGATTAATCGGGACTCCGCTCAGCTCGGCAGAGGGTAGAGACGTGTGGGGACGCGGTCGGCTTCTTGGGCGATTAGTCTTGAGAACCCGTTTATATATTTATATATTTTTGGCTTCTTGGTTATCGGGTCGCTCTTTATTATATTACTTACCATTTATTTAATTGGAGCCAAATTGGGTATCAACAACCAACACAAATGAAGGGGATAGTGTTGTCATTATTGTTCAAGTGTGTCACCCCAAAAAGTTCCAAAGGCAAATTCGAGTGTCCAACACGTTCAATGTTACCAAGCTTATCATAAATGGTGATACTCTGGAAATAAATGAGTTTCTCAATAGGTAATGATGATTTATTTCTCATTCTTTAATTCAATAATTCATCAAAACCAATGAATACTTAACCTCTCCGTGTTAGGTTCAACATTCAAGGGAGAGTTGAGGTACCGATCACCAATATTGTTGAACGAAGATATGAACATTCTACTACATTGCCAGATATGTTTTCAGAAGACCAGAGACATATTAAAGACTTATTTAAACAAGTTTCTATAACTCATAACTCACTCTAGAAACCATTTTTGTACCCTTCCAAAGCAACAAAATAGAAATTCATATAGAAAAAACAATTTTCATCTTACCCAATTTATTGAGCTTATAGTTTTCTTAACTCATTCAAAGATATCTAGGGAATTAAACAATCCCTTCGTACATCGCAATTTTCCATTAAAAGCACTCTTTCTAACTTATCAAGGTAACAAATTATATGTAGTCCTTATAAACTCATAAGGAACTTCTGTTTTTTCCCCTACTCCTCCATACTCGATCCTATTTCCATAGTATATCAGAATAACCACTACATTCAAGATACATCAACATAATGAAGATAACAAAATCTACAATTATACAACTAAGAAAAAGGAAGCATAGCGATATTGTGACCACAGGTAAGGATATTTACATAACTCCTATTTTCCATAGATGTATTTTTTCATAATGTTCTTATAATTTTGCACATTAGGAGAAAATTTCTTTACATGTGTCTTAATATACACAAGCATACACATATACACGAGTGTACACACATCTACATATATAGACAAATAAATATTCATCTAGGGCTTAGAGAGGGCCTAAATTTCAAAGAGAAATTCTCAATTTCACAAAGCAATTCTCAATTCTCACATTCAAAAACCAACTAGACTGAGAATGGCTCGAATTTCACAAATCATTTAGTAAAACAGATAATTGATAATTTGCCACATATTTGTAACCTAGACACCAACTCACCTTAGACCACGAATAGCCTTGCAACCTGGGGACGCTGCAACTTCTCGCTGCCCTCCAATCGTTTTTTCGCCATCCTTAAACCCACTCTCGCAGATCTGGCGGTTGTTCTCGGATGGCCGCCGTCTGTGAATTTGGAAGGAGGACAAGATTTAGAAGCAAATAAATGAAAATTACATATTCATTCCTAAAATCTATAGGTAACGAAATAAGAAATAAATGAGACTTTTTGTTTGTTTTAGGAATTGATAAACATTGTTAGGTTAGTCTGAAGATTTGATGCTACCTACTAAAATTTGTGAAGATAATAATTGGGCTTGAAAGATGTAGTTGAGGACCATTTTGTTTGTTTTTTTTCTTTTTCTTTTTGTGTGTATATGTTTTTATTGAGTTACTTTTAACAAGATTCATCAATATGTTTGCTAACAATATAATTTCCTATCGTAAATACAATTGGTATTGTATATTCAAAAAACTTATGTTCTGATAGGCAGCGGATCAATTTTTTTCATTCTGTTTTTTATTTTTTATTTATTTATCTATAAATAAAAAACTAACTATTCATATAATATTTGTATACATTTTCAAATAAAATTATTTGATACTCTCAAAATTAATTTAAAAACATGCTTTTGGTGACGATCCGATCGCTGCAGTTGTTGACGCTGTTTTTCCCACATTTCGAACTAACCCGAATGATCATTCTTATTTCCTGGAAAGAGCTATATTAGCTCCAACTCTGGATGTGGTGAACTCTGTTAATGATTACATGGTTTTGTTAAATGCTTCGGAGGCAAAAAGATATTTGAGTTCCGATTCTCCCTGTCATTCTGATAATAATGTAAGTGTGATTAATGATATCCAGACTCCAGAGTTCCTCAATTCAATTAAGTGCTCTGGCGTCCCAAATCATGAGTTGAATTTAAAAGTCGGGACGCCTGTAATGCTGCTTCGCAATGTTGACCCTTCCATTGGTTTGTGCAATGGAACTCGATTAATTGTCACAAAACTTGGAAATCATGTTATAGAGGGTGAAGTTCTTGGAGCAGAAAGTTCACGTCAAAAAGTTCTTATCCAAGAATGTCATTGACGCCTTCAGATCCGAGACTTCCATTTAAGTTTCAGCGAAGACAGTTTCCAATTATGGTGTCTTACGCAATGTCTATCAATAAGAATCAAGGACAATCTTTGACTAGCGTGGGATTGTTGTTGAAGAAACCTGTATTTGGTCATGGACAATTATATGTTGTTGTTTCTAGAGTAACGAATCTCAAGGGTCTAAAAATTGATATTTGTGACGGCGATAGTGATAGTGAGCCCGGTTCTTCTACTACTGATGTTGTATTTAAGGAAGTGTTCCAGAATGTGTAATAAAATAAATTACTTTTTTTTTTTATTTTATATTGCAAGAACATTTTTTTATATTACGATAACCAATTTTTATTTAATATTATTCCCTTTTTAATATCATGCCGCGCATCGCGCGGGTGGCGTACTAGTTTTACTAATCAAACGAGGTTTACCATTTTTCCCATCATACTTCACTCCCCTCCTAAACAAGGTAACATTTTTTTTTATTTTCACCCCCTCCACTTCATTTCCATTGAAATCCCTCCCTCCCCCTCGCCTTTAACTATACTCAAGACCGCACACCTGAATATCAACTCGAAACCTAATCTCCACTGAGGGAGGGAAGCCGGCGACGGAGAGACCCGGGGAGCGGCGAGCGGCGAGACGGCTTCAGTCCGGCAATACAGTCCGGTAATGATGGCTGAACTTTTTGGCTTTTCTATTCACTTATTTTATTTGCCTGTGCTGTGCCTCTACCTCTGTAGACTGTAAGAGAAACGTGAGTAAGAAAACAAACCTAAGTTTTCTTTTGTATCTTCTTTGTTTACTGGTTTCTTAAGAAATTTTTGGATATAACCGGAAAGCGCCTCTCGACAACCTCCTCGGAGTCTCCTCTCTCTCTCTCTCTCTCTCTCTTTTAGATATGCGTTGTTAACAAGGAATTGACAATTTCTAACTATGTATAATGAAAGCATTTCACTTTAACCATCAATTTTATGTGTATTTTCATTGTCTAGTTTGGATCATCCCTTCAAATTACAGCACGATTATCTCTCTCACCATTATGTTTAATTATTCAAATAATATCACTTGATACTATTAGTATAACTAGGTCACGGATCCCGGCGTGTGTTTTGTTCTCAACACCGCCTTGTGCCATCTATTCACATTCTCACCAATGGAGTCCAATGATGTTGAAGAGGAGGAATTTGGTTTCTCAAGAAACTACTTTTTGGCAAAAGAACTCGGCGGCTCTGGAAAGAAATCTGCGCGCAAACTTTCCGGCATCAATCTCGTCGACGAGCCGGTATTTCCGGTTCTCCCCTTTTTGGATTTGTTTTTGCAAATATGTTGAAGTTAAATGGGCCTTGTGGCTCGTTCACAGGAACTAAGAGAAGCATATGCTAACATTAAGCCAAAACACGAGAAAGAAATCGATGATTTGCTACGGAGTTATAAGAATTCATACTCAGAATGGGCTACTGTATTGCGGTAGTTATATATATTTCCTCATTTTATTTGGGGCGTTCTCTTGAAGACTACTTAGCTTCTATAATTCGTAAGTTAATGCTGAATTGAATTTATATCTGCGTCTGAAAGGTGTGGTTTTGGGCTATTAATGTATGGTTTCGGGTCAAAGAAGGCATTATTGGAAGATTTTGCTGCGAACGCCTTGACTGATTATTCTGTCGTTGTGATCAATGGATATCTCCAGTCAATCAATCTTAAGCAGGTACGTATTGTGTTGGTGAAGGTTGTGATTTTTCTTTTATTCATTGCCTAGATGTAAATCAAGCTGCTATTTGCTTTGGAGCCCCTTCTTTGGAATTTGGAATGTCATCTTCTTCGCTATCTATTTGATGGTTATAGATTAGAAAATGTTGCATGAAATTGTTAATGGGCACGTAAGGATTTTGTTGATATCTATTGTGTAGAAAGTTGTTAGTTGCTGATGTTGGGTATAAAATGTTGAATTTACCAACCCAAGAAATGTAATGTGCTTATCAGAGTCAAATGGGCAGGACAAATTGAGACTTGAATGTTACTTTAAACATATGGATGTGTTTTAATTCTACTCTGAATGATGGCACATAATGCCATCTTGCTAAAGTTTCAAAGACGTGGATTTTGTAGGTTGCAATTACTTTAGCCGAGCTCTTGTGGGAACAACTTAAAATGAAGCAGAAAAGTGGCTCCTTGATTAAAAATCAGCCCTTTAACACTCGATCAATGGATGATCTTATTTTGTTCCTCGATGGGCCACATTTGGAGGATGAGTGCTTTGTCTGCATCTTGGTCAACAACATTGATGGGCCTGGCCTGCGTGATTCAGAGGCCCAACAATATCTTGCCAGGCTAGCTGCTTGTTCTCATATACTCATGGTGGCCTCCATCGATCATGTGAATGCACCTCTTTGTAAGTATCATCTATAAGATATCCTTTTCAATATGACCTATTTTTCTGTTTTCCTTTCTTGCATAGTTGTGTGTTTTCCTACGAGGCAATTAGGCATGATTGTGAATTTGTTATACTTGACAGTTGTGTGATTGGCTCTAGCTCATGAAGTTCTGTTTATGATTATAAGTTGGCACTACCACAAATACTGTTTGAAATCGCATTGTTTAGGCTCTATGACTATATTCACCCTAGTTCACTATAATCAAAACTTTGCTACTATAATATTCATGAGGTGGCCTATTTTTTAGTAAGAACATCAAGCAGGCATTCACAAGTTCTTAAAATATACATATTAAACCTCAAGGGTATATTTTCTAGTCAAAGCTAATATATATTTTATGTTCTTTCTAGCAAAGCGAATGAAATATGTCGGGTGACAACATGTTTGTTTCTTGTTGTATTTAAAGTGTTGGATGAAGGCGTTTATTTGTTTGCCATTGTTTTTAAAGTATCGTTGAACCATGTTCTTGAATATTTCATTTTTTCTTGTGTAGTATGGGACAAAAAAATGGTTCACACTCAGTTTAATTGGTACTGGTACCATGTTCCGACATACGCACCTTACAAGATAGAAGGAATGTTCTTTCCTCTTGTTCTCACTCACACTGGCAGTGCACAAAATGTGAAAACAGCTTCAATAGTTCTGCAGAGTTTGACGCCAAATGCTCAAAGCGTTTTTAAACTTCTTGTGGATCATCAGCTTGCCCATCCTGATGAAGAAGGCAAGTGGCTACATTTTAATCTGAGATTCTGAATAACTATTCGTATAAATGGTTAACTACAGAAAACCACCCATATAAGTTAGTTTTGTTACAAAAAATAAGTCCCAAGATTACAAATAACCATTTTATATGGTGCACTTTGTAAGTTAGACACACGTGAGGGCCAAAGTGGCTATTTCTATTTGTAATCTTGAAAGGTGGCTGGATTTTTTTTATTTCTTTTTCCTTGAACAGGTCAAGGGTATTATTTTTATTTATTTTCAGTACTTTATAAGTTTCTCATTATGATTCACCGATTCTTGTTGTCTTACAGGGATGCCGTTTAACAATTTGTACACGATTTGCCGAGAACGATTTCTAGTAAGTAGCCAGATTACTCTGAATGCTCATCTTACGGAATTTAAAGACCACGAGTTGGTCAAGACGAGAAGAAATTCGGACGGCGAAGATTGCTTGTACGTTCCACTCTCTAATGAAGCACTTCAACAACTTGTGCAAGAGATCAATCAGTAAGATGAGATTAAGCCTAATTGGTGCAGATTTGTTTTACTATTTTGGTTGCCTTTAGCCAAAAATTGAGGTTAAAGTGATTTAGGGAATATGATGATGTTTTACCAAACATGGTGCTGACCGATATTTAATCACAAAAATATTCAAAACCGAAAATTGTTGGGGAAGTGTTGCTTATTATTTAGCATTGCTTTCTTTTTTACTAAATGTTACAAACCTAGGGTTTTTTCAATAGATAAGTTCGTTAGATGTGAATGACCATATTTATAGAGTTCTTCATGTGCTATGGGCCTTGATATACTCAACACCCCCTTCAAACTCAAGGCGGATGGTTTGAAGCATTGAGTTTGAGTAAGTTAGGTCGATGTTCTCTAATTTGTGCTTTGGTGAAGAAATAACCAAGAAATATGCTACTTGCAGTGGGCACATGATGCAGTTTAGAGGGCACATTATGTAGAACATTTATTTTCTGATGAACATGAGATCGGGTAAAGAAAACATCAACACCAATGTTTTTGCAAGTCCATGCTTTTCTTCCAATATTATCACAAAAAAGTGGTGTAGGACGAGACAATTACATGAAATACCAAAACCGACTAACAACTATCTAAGTCGTGTAAGGCAGTGGCAAGTGTTCGAAGTTTTGCCTGTGCTAAATTGAGGTACAACTACTTGTTTCTTGGAATGCATTAATAAATTATCGGAAGTTTTGCCTGTGCTAAATTGAGGTACAACTAATTGTTTCTTGGAATGTATTAACAAATTATCGAGATACAACTACTTGCTTCTTGGAATGTATTAATAAATTATTTTATATCAAATGAACTTAAATCAGTACATTTTTATTTTATGTTTATTGCTAAAACCTTTCTTTCTTCCCTTTACCTCGTTTTTTTTTTTTTTTTTTTTTTTTTTTTTTTTTTTTTTTTTTTTTTTTTATTTATTATGAGCAGGGAGGAAGATTATATATATATATATATATATCTGATTGTTTTTCTTTTCTTACAATTTATTTGCTTCAGTCTGAAACTTTTTATTGGGCAGAAACAATAATTTATTGGGTTGTTTGGTTTGCCTGAAAAGTATTTGTATTTTTGCTTTTGAGAAATTTATTATTGCTGCATAAATATATTGTCTTACAAGTTAGATCGTGTAGAATAAACTAGAAAATCTATCTATATATAATAAGGATAAACTTAATTCATTTTTAGTAAGAATTTCCCGCCAAAATAATTAATGACTTTCCAAAATAGAATTATCACACACATATTAAATACAAAATGAAAAAAAAAAAAACATTCATTGCTTAGGAAGGAGATCCATGAAAAAAGGGATTCTGTTTGTATTAATTTTGTCAAAATTATTTTTTAAGGTAAACCATTATTTTTATGGTAACATATTTTTGTGGTACAAGAATTCTATATATACACAAATCTCATTTAATTTGTATATTTATATCTTTATAAAATAACGGTAAAATAAAACTCATAAATACTACAGTAAAGTCATGTTAGTGTATGGAGGATTATTAAAATTCACTTCATGAAATCATTAATTTCTAAATCAAAGAAACAATTAATTCTCAAATTCAAAATTAATATTAACAAATAATTGAAATAAAAATGGTAGAAATTTTCTAGAAGCTAAAATATCAGGTAATTAAAGAAGGGACAAATAGGAGTTAATTATATAGGAAAATTTGACCATAAAATTTCAAATATACATAAAATGAAACTAGAATCCATCGTGAATGATACGTATCATCATATGTATAAATCAAAAATCATTGACCATCTTTTAGGGTCCCTTTTACTTAGCTATAATTACAGTGATATTATACCATATGATTTCAACAATTGAAAACCTCGAATTATTGGAATTAATTTCAACAGAAATTCATTCCAAAAACTATGAAATTTTTGAGAGAATAAAAAAAAAAAAATGCCAGAAAGAGAAGAACCCTAACATTATATTCTTTTTGTGTAATATCTTTGTTTTCTTTTGCTTCTCCTCGGATTTTTGGAGTTTTTTTATATGGAATAATTTTTTCCTACATCATTTGTAGATTTTTATTTTATTTATTTAATATTGTTGTTTTATTCTCTGATTTATATATTTTTGTTTTATGGATTTATGTTTTTTTATTTTACTTTGATAATAAGCATTTTTTTATTAATATTTATCATTTTCAATTACAAGGCATACAAACTAAATCAAAATTTTCAACGAACCTTTTTTTATTGTATCACAATTTTGTGGTGAAACATCTTTTTAGATATACACAAATCAAATTTTATTATTATTTTAATTTTTTATTCGTAATAAAATTTAATTAACACACGTTTCTCATATTAATTGTTTGTACTACAAGATGCTAGAATAAAATAAGATAAATACGAAATGCAATGTCTATGGAAAGCTGACTTACAAGTGTTTATATTCATAAATAAATCTCTTATTTGAACTTAATAATACTTTTTTTTAATATTGTTATGCAATAGATAAAATCTAAAACTCTTTTTAAACGTAACAAATGTATTTTAATATTACATTTTATATTTATTCCAAATATTGGAATAAATTGGCCATAAAAAGAAACTACGAGTATAAAAAAAAGAAACACAAAATCAATGAGAATGCTAAAATAAAAAAGATAGATATGAAATGCAATCTTTATAGAAATTTGATTTACAAGTGTTTATATTCATAAAAATAATCTCTTACTTGAATCGTAAGAGTTTTTTTTTGTATATTGTTATGCAAATACAATCAAATTTATTCCAAATATTGGAATCAATATGGTGACTAAATGAGACTAAGAGAATATAAGAGATAAACATAAAATCCACTAATCATAGTAATAATTTGTTTAATAATACTGCCATAATATTCGATTCTATTCAACTACAAATTATGCTAACTAAATTTGAGATTTTTAACGATCTTTTCTTTACGATATTATAATTTTTGTGGTGAAAATCTTTTTTTATTTTGGTATCATCCGAATAAACAAAATATGTGATATTGCCACACCAAGAAATATTATCACTTCAATTTCATACGATATTTTTTGTTTTGACACGAATGTGAGACTTATAAACATCCACTCAAACTCATATGATAAAAGCATCTTATACAAAAATATAAAACCACATATCGTCAAGGTTAGTCTTTATCGATATAGTTGTTCTTGAAGAAATTATTTTTTAGTAACAGTCAATTATTAGTACAACACCCGTGTATTACACGGGTGCTTGCTAATTTTTTCTTAAAATTTAAAATTAATGAGAAAAAGTAGTTTGAAAATTTAAATACCTTTTATAAGAATATGTATATATATATTATTATATATTTATTATGATATTTTTTATTTGTGCGACTTACTTGTGTTATATTATACTATTTTTTTAACTTACACTATATAACTACATAAATATAAATATATCAATTGAGAATTAATTTTATTTTTCTAATGAATTTTAATAAATATTATTATTTTTATTATTATAAAGATAAATATAATTTATTTATTTTATATATACAATATAGATGCCAAATCGAAGATCATCAAAAGATGATTAATTTGATATCTTATATATGTAAAACCGATAAGAAATACAAAAGTTATCTACTTTTAAAATATATTTATAATTCAATAGCTCATTGAAGGAAACAAATCAAAATTTAGGGATATATTAGTCACTTAGTGCCTCAGTATGTAAAATTATAAATAATTAAAGGGTAATATTAGTAAAAGTGATATTAAAATACCTAAGTTAGCTAAATAGTATTTATGGAATACCCGAACCTAGATTATTAATTATTAATATATTAATATTATTTGTCCAAACCTAATTACGAAGCATGATTCTTCGCCAAATAGGATTCCGAAGCACCAGAAGCAGCCACGTAGGCTCAGCGCATTCGAGAATTATATATAGGGAGGATTTAGAATTAATTTTATTTTTCTAATGAATTTTAATAAATATTATTATTTTTATTATTATAAAGATAAATATAATTTATTTATTTTATATATACAATATAGATGTCAAATCGAAGATCATCAAAAGATGATTAATTTGATATCTTATATATGTAAAACCGATAAGAAATACAAAAGTTATCTACTTTTAAAATATATTTATAATTCAATAGCTTATTGAAGGAAACAAATCAAAATTTAGGGATATATTAGTCACTTAGTGCCTCAGTATGTAAAATTATAAATAATTAAAGGGTAATATTAGTAAAAGTGATATTAAAATACCTAAGTTAGCTAAATAGTATTTATGGAATACCCGAACCTAGATTATTAATTATTAATATATTAATATTATTTGTCCAAACCTAATTACGAAGCATGATTCTTCGCCAAATAGGATTCCGAAGCACCAGAAGCAGCCACGTAGGCTCAACGCATTCGAGAATTATATATAGGGAGGATATGTTGTTGTTTCATGTGCAACTATTAAGAAGTGATTGAAAATATTAGTTTGTGGGGATAATAAGTTACCCAGTAATCAAACTAATAATGTTGTGTACAATGAGACTTTTAATAATGTATGACTTATTATTACCAACGGAAAAATTATGATTACTTTATAAATGTCTTACGAAATATAATTTATTTAGTAATAGATTTCAACTTATAATTATTTTTAAAAATAAATACAGCCCGTGCATCGCACGGGTTACATACTAGTTGGGATGAAGCTAAGTATGGTTATTTTAATTTACAGTTCTACAGAATAAAACAGGCAACAGTTGGACATTTATAATTTTTTCAAAATATGTATATATACATTTAATCTTAAATACCATATTCTAAAATACAACATATAAACAATATAATTTTCCTCCCGAATTTATATTATTTTATTTATGTTTGACCTTGTGATTAACTTGTGTTAACCAACCCAAATTAAATTGGCTAATTAATGCACGAAACAAAAATAATGCTTCTCATCAAATTAAACTAGTCTAGTTTGACCCTGCTCGAGCTTAACTCATTAAGACTCGAATTCGGCTCGGCTACTTTGATAACGAGCCAAGCTCGAGCTAATTTAAAGCTCGTTTGGTTAACGAGTTGATTCGGTTTGATAAGGCTCGAAAAGAGAACTTTTGTAAAATTTTCTGAAGTTCGACTCGTTATATCTCGATATCGGCTTGTTAAGGCTAAAGCTCGAGCTCGACTCAACTCATTTATAATAACCACTGTTAGACTAACGTTGATTTGAACATACCAACATTCGATCAAAAAGCTATGTTCTAAAGTCACTGACAAGAACAACAACAACATACCCAGTATATTCCCAACTGGTTGGGCGTCAATGACAAGAACAAAAACAAAAAAAGAGTTGACCTCAGATTCAAATTAGACAATAAATAAATAAATAAATTTTATAAATTATAAATAATAATAATAGCATAAGTGAGTATTAAGCAACCAGGGACCAATTGGCAACAAAACAAATGCTTCTACTTTATGATTTGCCCAATTGTAGGAAGCTAACTTTGAGTACACACCAAATGCTTATAAGCACTCAAACCGAACCCACAACCATCTCATATAGTTACCCAATACCTTTCACTCATTAGTTTTCAACAATCTGAACATGGCTTCAACTGCTTGTACCTTCCAAAAACTTGCCCTGCTCCTCTTCATCATAATCAGCTTCCCTTTAGCCACCTCCATCGACTTCAACTACCCGGCAGTTTTCAATTTCGGAGACTCGAATTCCGACACGGGGAACCTAGTCGTCAGCATGGCGGATCCCCTCGACCCGCCTAACGGTCAGACATATTTCAAGAGACCTTCCGGAAGGTTCTGCGATGGCCGCCTCATCATCGACTTTCTAAGTAAAAAAAAAAAAACTCGTATTTCTTTTTTTTTATCTTCCCCCCTTTTTTTCTCCCGCCAAACGAGACCTTAACCTCATTGTCTTCCGTTTAAACATAATATGGCAGTGAATGCAATGGACTTGCCGTTCTTGAACGGGTATTTGGACTCGGTAGGTGCTCCAGTTTTCAGAAGAGGGTGCAACTTCGCTGCTGCGGGGTCCACTGTATTGCCCGCAACTGCAACATCCGTTAGCCCGTTTTCGTTCGGGATCCAAGTGGCACAGTTTTTCAAGTTCAAGGCAAAAGTCGAAGAAATACAGGCTAAGTGTATTAACTATTACCTCTATCTTGTATATATATTTAAACAAAAATGCAATTTTTGTCATGTTGATTAAACGTTATAGCAATTTTTAGTCCCCGTGTTCCAACTTTTCGCCTTTTGGTCCTATGATATCATATTTTGCTGCAATTTCAGTGCTCAGAGGACAGGACTGCAATTGCAACAAAATTTTATATTACATGACTAAAATTGCAATAAAATTAAATTACACGACTTAAATTGCTAATAAAAATTCATCCGAAAATAAAAAGGGAAATTTTGCAATTTCAGTCTCAAATGACTGAAATTACTGCAAAATATTAAATTACTGGACCAAAAGACGAAATGTTAGAATATTGGGACTAAAATTGCTATGACGTTAAACCACCATGACTAAAAATGCAATTTAACCTATTTATCATGATGTAACTAAGCATATGACTTGACTAGTGTTTTTCTTTTTCCTTAATTTTTTCTTCACTAATGGCAGCGAGAAGATATGATAGGTATATCCCAGCTCAGGATTCTTTCGGGAAGGGGCTCTACATGTTCGACATAGGTCAAAATGATCTAGCTGGCGCCTTTTATTCAAAGACGTTTGATCAAGTCCTCGCTTCAATCCCAACGATTCTATTAGAATTCGAAGATGGTATTCAGGTAGTAACTAGTAAGCATTGTTTACAGATTCTTCAAAAAGGAATGTACATAGATATCTATCTAAAACTCATTCATGTCTTATAAATTACCTTGATTTACAGAAATTATACGATCAAGGAGCGAGAAATTTCTGGATTCACAATACGGGCCCTTTAGGGTGCTTACCGCAAAACATTGCTAAATTTGGCAATGACCCAACGAAGCTAGACGAGCTCGGATGTGTTTCCACTCACAATCAAGCCGCAAGGCTTCTCAACCTGCAACTTCATGCACTCACCAAGAAATTGCAAGGCCAATATCAGGATGCAAATATTGTGCACGTTGACATTTTCACAATCAAGTTGAATCTCATAGCAAACTACTCTCGATATGGTCAGTATTAAAAAAGCAAATATCCTCTCGTCTATTTCCATAAACACAATTAAAACTATTTGTATTACATATAGGCAAAAATGCATTTTTAGTCCTGTTGGTTTAACGCCATGATAATTTTAATCCCAAGACTCTAACTTTTCGCTTTTTGGTACTGTGATTTAATGTTTTACTGTAATTTGAGTCATTTGGGGATTGAAATTGCAACAAAATTTTAAATTACACGGCTAAAATCGCAACAAATTTTAAATTACAGGACTAAAGTTGCTAATAAAAAATCTGGAATCTGTTGCAAATTTCAGTTTCAAAGAGCAAAATATTAAATTACAGACAAAAAAGGCGAAAAGTTGAAATCTTGGGACTAAAATTGCTATGACGTTAAACCAGCTGGACTAAAAATGCATTTTTGCCATATATATATATAATTATATATAACTCTTTTACTTACAGGATTCGAGCAGCCATTGATGGCCTGCTGTGGGTATGGGGGTCCACCATTGAATTACGACAGCCGGGTCGCCTGTGGACTGACCAAAGTCGTGAACGGAAGTTCGATCACAGCCAAAGCTTGTGATGACAGTACAGAGTACATTAATTGGGATGGGATTCATTACACAGAGGCTGCAAATCAGTATGTTGCATCACAGATTCTGACGGGAAAATATTCGGACCCACCATTTGCGGACAAGATGCCTTTTCTTCTAAAGCTAAAGTTTTAAAGTTCCCATTATCTTAGTGGGGGCTTCTTGTATTTGTTTGCACTTTGCAGATATGATATTATTCTTCAAATCGATTTTTAAATCGACTGATTCACTCGGCCTGGGGACACTTGGGCCACTCCAAGCATAAGAGAATTCAAATCTGTCAAGTAACTGAATCTTCATGTTCAGAGGGCCTTTACTCAGCAGAAATGAACTGAGGAGAGCTTAAACTAATGCAGTTTCTTGATATTTGCTTTTCTTTGCTTTTTGCCAAATAATATTTTATTTTGCCACCCTCCTTCATTTTTTAAGTCCTATAAAATCGTCATTACGAGTATCTTATAAGCTCTACATACATCTAAAATGGGCCATGGTTACATTTCAAGTCAACCAAGGCAAAATAAAAGGATGCATGCGAAACACAATGAAAAATGAGGCAACAGTCAATATCAAGAAATTTTGATTTGTTTCACTGGTATATGAAACAAGCATTTTCTCATATGAACATTGTTTTAATAGCATTTTATACATTCGATCAACTCCAACCATAAATAATGATTCCAGACTAGAAGAAGAAGAAGAAAAAAAAAAACGAAGAAGAATATAAAAAATGACTTCATTTCTTGGAGACATAGGCATAGTACTGTGCCATAGGAACAACAAAAGCAATGACTAACAAACCTCCAACAACAAGAGTGAACTGACCCCGTTTTTCGTCCGTTTCCTCTCGGGTTTTGAAGTTAGATTCCCTCTTGTTGTCTTTAGCCTGCGGGCCCCCCGGATCAGGAAGCCCGTCTATGGCAGCTACTAGCCGTTTTGCAGCACTGTATACTGCTTCATTGTACTTCTCATCCGTAGCTAAGACTGCAAAACATTTTTGGCAAATGGCAAAGATTCAGATACTCAACACATTTTTCTTTTTTTCTTTTTACATATATATAATCAAGTCACCACCTTTCTTTATCAAAATTCTCATCAAGTATAAGTTCAACAAGAAAAAGAAAGGAAAGAGAAACGAAAATCCCTCGAGACATTAAATTGATCAAGAATAAAGAGATGAGAACTAGCCAAGAAGTGAATTAACATGCATAAAGAGATGTAAATTGGATTGAAAAATGGCAGCAAAGTAAGAGTTAATTTATTCTACCTGGAAGATTTTCAGAAACAGTGGCATCAAGAACAGAATCACCAACGGCTCCGATGAATTTAGGGCCACCTGTGACGGCACCTTCTTTTTGACTAGTGACGAGCACTATAATGCCTTTGTTATTGCCTTCCTCAACAGTTGGATACCAACGTTCGAGTACTTGGTCAGCATACTCGAATGCATCTGCTTTGCTCTTCAGATTAAAAAAACAATGAGGACAAAATATGATTCTAATGCTAACTTCTTCTAATTCCACATAATTGAATCAAAATCAGAACACCATAAACAGCTCTAATAAGATGAAAAGAAAAACGAAACAAAAACTTCCACAAATTCGACAAAGGAACTCTTACCTTCAATTTATAATTACAGCCAACTTCTACTATCTCATTCATAATTTTTGTTGTTTTTCCATCAAAAAATTGAAGAAAGACTATCTTCACAAACACTCTTCTTTTAAGCAGCAATACACGTCCATTTACCACAATATCTGTCACTCGAACTTCACAACATTCCATTTTTTTTTTTT